CCCCAAAACCCCAAAACCCCAAAACCCCAAAACCCCATGATAATAATTTCAAGAATTAAAGAACTAAGAATTTACAAAATAAACTTATAAAATTACAAAAGCATAAACATGAATTCTGATGAAGAAAAACAAATTTCATAGAAAATAAGTTCATAACCCAATACTAATTACAAAAAATGAACTTTTTTTAATAGATGTTCTTAATTTTTGCACTCGATATCTCTGGGTAAGTACTAACTTGGAGGTATTTTCGATGATGGGAGACTATATTCTTCATCTATTGCAGGTGGTTTGATAACAATGGCTATAATCATTTTGCTGCTTATATATTCAGTGTTAACACTATAACCTATAATAGACAGAGAGTAATATTACCTGAAAGAAACTTCATAAAACATTACAAAAAGTTAATATAATTATCCAGATTTAACTGTTGGTTAGATTTTCTAAATGCTAAAGCCTAAAGTTAAAGTTGACACTATTCTTCTTATTTGCAATACTTACAATGTTACTCTAACTTATTCTTTTAGTGGAAATGAGGAGATAATTGGAATTTATTACTTGAAGGATATCAAATATCAATCTGAATATGAATGTATTTTAGATCTTTTGAAAGATAAATAGGTGCAAGAAGACTTGACAAAATTTAAAGATAGAAAGGGCTTAGAATATGACAAGGTAAAAGACTAATATATCTTCACATTAAGTATAATAATTGCAGGTATTGAAGTCACTTAAATGGCGGTTTCTCATGAAGTAATGGAAGTATTTTAATATGGGTCTTAACTTGTAGTATAAGATATTGGGTTAGATTATCAGTACCACAATATCTTTGATATTCAGTTTAGTTTTCTGCTTCTTTAAGAAACTGATGATATAGGATATATATTAAATAGAAACTATTAAGAATATCACGCAATCTCCCCAACTCAAAGTTTTCAATAGGGGTCCTACTACTTAGATAAACAGTAGTTAAAAAAGTGGTATGTTTTTTATACATTTAGTAGCAAGGAGATAGGATTCACTAGATATCCAGAAACAATATCATCTGGAATATCAAAGATCGGTGGTCTATTCTCAGTTATAAGCTTCATATTTGTGCTTGTTAGATGTTATCATTAGCATCGATTAAAAAAAATTCTTAAAAAAAAACTTTACAACTTTGAAAAAACTTAAAATATTTTGAAACCTTAAAAATTCAATAACCCTAATGATTCTATATAATAGAATGAATCACCAACTTTTTCTCATAATTCAGTCAATGATGTGTCAAGAGAAGTAATAGCTATAAATAAGACTTTCAATTTTCAAGATGAATCTTAAAGAAGTTTGATGGATTTTCCAAGGAGTATTGAGTAAGCCTCAGAATAGATGAAGACCAATAAATTAGCCATTCAGGAAGTATTTAGTTTTGAGAGTATAATTCAAATGCACATAAATCAAAATAAATTGCTTTTGGACATCAAGGAAATGAAGAAATAGATGCATGATATGGAATCTAAATATGAAGGTCTCATTAATGATTTAACTTCAAAAATACGAGATCTGGAAAATTAAAATACCAATAATATTCAATTTTGATGCCATTCTTATAATCACATCCAATATTTTTATTTAATTTCATTAAATTCTATGATAATTTTGAACTATGGGGTTTTGGGGTTTTGGGGTTTTGGGG